TTATAATCGTTAAATTAGCTTAATTATATTCCCCAAAAGACGAGTTATTTTCTTTGTGTTGGTTTGCTTTGAATACTTGTTTTTTTTTTTTTTTTTTGTGTTGATGTTATTTATTTTATTAATTAAATATTGGTCAAATTTTACATCCTCAATTAAGTTAAATTGGTTGTTCTTAAAAAATGTGTTATTTAACGCTTCTTCACACATTTTTGCTCATTCTAAAATTATTTTGAGTTAAGTATTTTTCTTCAATAAACTTTAAAAAATGGCTTTTCTTTTACTTTGTCACTTTTTCTCAAAAAGTTAGTCAAAACTTTGCTTTTATTCTTCAATTAATTTAAAGTGATGTTCATGCTTAAACTAACCAATTTGGTTTAAATTATTATTTTAAAAAAAAAATAAATTAGCCAAGTAAGTCCTAATTAATCTAGTTTTATTAATATTCTAATCACTTGTAATTTAATTCAAACATTTCATTTTGGGTCTCTTTCTCTAAAAAAAAAATAAAAAAAATGTGTCATTCATTTAACTATTTTTCTCAAAGTTAATCAAATATATTATAAGTTATTATTTTTTTTATGTTAAAGCATTATTTTTCTAAAAATAGTCAAACATATTTTGGTCAAGTCACAGGTCAACCAAACCCTCTTGAAGTGTAAATTGAACCCCGAACCCTCTTTGGTATTTTTAAATGATTTTTTCTGTTTAAATCTTTGAAAATTATAAGTTTTCTTAATTTTTAAAAAATTAAGTGGCGACTCTTTTCTAAGTATTTTTCTCAAATTGTTTTATACTTAGGACATTTCAAAAAGTGATTTTTCTAGAGATAATCAAAAGGCGTAATTTCTCTCCAATGGCTCTGAAGGTTTTAGAGGAGAACATTAGTAGGTCTATCGACTGTACCATTGAGTTTAATGGAGCTGCTGGATTTGAAATGAAAGAAGGGCTTTGTCAACACAAAGTGGATATTACTAGGAGAACTTGTAGTTATAGGGTGTGGCAGTTAAGGGGCATACCATGTGCACATGTTGTGGCTGTATTATACTTTAAGAAGTTTTCTCTTTATGACTATATAGACAGCTGCTACAGTAAGGAAACTTACTTGAGGATTTATGCCAATGGTATTGAACCACTCACAAACATGGAGATGTGGCCAGTTTCTACAAACCCCACTATTGAGCCACCAGAAATCACAAACATGCCTGGTAGGCCACCTAAGGCTAGAAGAAAAGAAGTTGGAGAAACTAAGAAATCTGAGAAGCTTTCCAAGATTGGACTTGCAATGACATGTAGTATATGTCATGTCAGAGGACATAACAAGAGAGGGTGTCCTCAAAGAGAAGGTGTTGAACCATCAACAAGACAAAGTGCACCATCACCTACTGCATCAGTAAGGGCAGAACCAATAGGTTCAGGCAGGGGAAGAAGCAAACCAAAGATAATATTTGAACTTGTTTTACTTTTTCTTAATTTATGACTTACTTTTTCTCTTATATGTATAGAAAAACTCCATCAGCACCATCAGAAGGTGAGCCTCTACTAAAAAAGGTGTAGACACATAATTTTTGACCGAACATAAGATTTTACACTATTTTTAAGTCTTAAATATCTCTTCTATGTCTAAGTTAGATATTTTGATTTTTGTCTTATTTTAATAAGTTTATTTAAAAAAAAAAATGAAAATAACAAAAAATATATGTTTATTTAAATTTAAATTTAAATTTAAATTTTAATAAACAAGCTAGTATTTCTTAATTATATTTTTTAAACTAGCTATTTGACTTTTCTAATATTTTATTAGTTCAAAATAATAATTAGTATTTTTATTATTATTATTTTAATATATATATTTAATCTTAAAAAAAAAAACAATAACCTACACTACCCCACTATCCCAACCCACCTACACATTACCTCACCCCATTACGGCATTACCTCCCACCATCTGCACATACTACTCCACAACACATACCCCTATATTACATACACAACACGGAAAAAGGAAGAAGAAGAAAAAACGGACGACACTCAAGAAAACAAAAAGAAAAACTTTCCATTTTATTTCACTATCCTCTTAAAAATTCACCAACACATTCACATTCCTCTTCCTTTCTCATTATTATTTTCATATAAACACCATACATATACCACCATACACACCTACAAAAAATTTGTGGGTATTCTAATCGAGCTTCAATTAATATTTTGCGGTATTCAACTTTACCTTATCTTTCTATTTATTTATTTATGGAATTTGATGTAATTTTATGACAAGTTCTTTTTATATTTTGTTTCATTCATGAATTTGATTGGGATGATTAATTTGTTAGTTGTTATATCTCTATTTCATGAATAAGGTAGCTTGAATCGATGATTTTATTTATTTATTTATTTATTTTTATTTATTAGTTGTGATCTCTTAAAAATGAATGGTCGTAACATTGTTCTTGTCTTCATTTAGATAATATGATCATGCTAGAACCACGGGACTCGAGGGGTGCCTAATACCTTCCCCTCGGTCAATAGAATTTCTTACCCGAATTTCTGGTTCGCAGACTAATATAAAGAGTCATTTCCTTTTGATTATGGATTAAACAAAAAGATGATTTGGAACACCATAACTCAATTTCAAGTGACGACTCTGAAACAATAAAATAATCTCTTAATCAATAACGTCACTTAAATTGGAAAAACCCTTCCGCCGCTGTACGCAAAAAGGAGTGTGACAAAAGGGAAGAGGAAGACAAAAAAAAAACATCATCAGTAGCACCTAGTGCACCTCCCCTACCTACTGCACCTACTGATTTTCCTGCATCCTCTTTTGCTCTTCCTACTTATCATGCATCATCTTCAATAATTGGTACTACTAAAAGAGGAAGGGGTAGGGGCAGGGGAAACACATCTCCAGAGAAAAGACCAAGAGTCATGGGAATGGGTGTGTTCCAAGCTGCAAATGGCTTCAAAGTCATGAATGTGAGTCTTTGATATATGTTAACAACTTAAATTTTGAATTATAATCCTAATTTTGTTTAGTTAAACAGCTTAAATATTGATATAATCCTAATTTACTATAGTCTGGCATGCCAAGTAGTAAGATCTACTCTACCGGACAAGCAAAAGTGACAAGATCATCTGATGTAACTGGTGACATTGGTTATACACCAAGTAATACAACTAAGCTGAAATGGAATGGTAAAGCAGCAATCTCAACAAGCAAGCTTCATGAGCTTAGAGAGGAGCAAAGAAAGAAGACAATGGGAAGTAGTTCAAGTCAAAAATGACACTTCTTCACAGTCAAAGATGCCATGGAAATTGTAGTGATGTTGATGTATTTAAGCACTTTTGAGTTAGTCCATACATGGTTGCATTAATGGCCTGCTATTTTGGATTTTGTTTGTTGGTAAATTTTGCCTTATGTGAGGGCTTTTGAATATGACATTATTTGGGTAAATTCTGCTTATGTGAGGCCTTATGAATATTACTTTATTTTGGTAAATTCTGCCTTATGTGAGGCCTTATGAATGAATGGTGATGTTGTGTTTTAAAATGATTGTTGTGTTGTCTATCGAATTGTATTGGCTATTCAGGTGTGCTTACATATGTTGTGTCGGTTATGTGTTTTACAAATGGTGTTGTGTTGTCTATGCTGAAGTATGAATGGATGACTAGGTTGTTGGTTGTTGATGAAGTGTTGCATATTAATACAAGCTTCAAATTGACATCATAGATACAAAATGACACACATACATTGACAATTTTAATTAAACATAACAACAATACAAATCAAAGAGAAATCCAAATATGCAGCACTTGAACTACTAGGTTGCTGATGAACATAGCAACAACACAAATCAAAATACACAAAAGTATGTTCCTATTGAGCCTACACCATTTCAACCTTCTATTGAGTCTCCTCTCCAATAACAAATTAGAGTTCCTCAAGTTGTCAATATGAACCTGTCTAATACATAATTCTTGCTCCAACTCATTGATTTTGTTTACCAATCTTGGAATGATAAAACTTGATCTTGGATCCACTTCTTCTTTGTCCCTCCATCGAAAAAATTTACAATTTTTAGACTGAAAATGATCCAAAATAGTACATTTGCATCGTTCAAAATAAAGTGTAGCAAGAATACAAGAAAAAACACATACAAAATAGCATGGGAAAGACCAAAATCTTCTTCCCGGATTTAATTTCGACCAAGAAGTTTGCAAATTCAGCAAAATTTCGTGTTTGCATCTCACTACAGCATTGAGCATTGGGTCTGATTCATCCATACAAAGCTTATTCAAGTTTTCATTTGCCATTTTTGATGAATTTCGAGAAAATTTAAAATTCGAATTAGAGACCTAAATAAGAAATTAGAGCAGATTACAAACCCTAAATTCAAGATTTGAAGTAGAAATGAACATTAACAACTAAACCCTACTTAATTTTGAGAGGAAATTGTGATTTTTTTAATAAAAGGAACAAGGGTTAATGGTGGGGAAGAAGAAATAATGGTTTATTTAAAGGTGGGGAAGATGACCGTTGGAGAAGGAGGAATTTTTCGTCAAAATTAACCTTCTAACGGGCCTAGAGGAGGTGAGAACACCTCTCATGACAGGTCAACACTTAGGTGTGTAGAAAATAGAGAAATATACAGTTCAGGTGGGTAATAGAACACCCGTAAAGTTGGAGTGTATAGTTGAAATTTCGAATATAGGTTGGGGGTTTTAGACCATTTTCTCTAAGAATAATAACAAACAAACAATTATAAACTATCACTCGATACAGTTATTTGATACTCTAGTTCATAAAAGTTACATTAATTACAAGATTTTTTTTTATAAACTTCGTATTATTTTATACAAATATTAATTATTTACCTTTTATTCTGTATAAGAGAATACATAAATTATTTCTTAACTTATATTATATTAATTATTATGCATAAATAATTTATTGCTTAATTAGCTATCAAATGTAATATTAATTAATATTTGTATAACTCACAACAAACCTGTTAGCGGTGACCGATATTTGTTCAGTGCTTTTGTGTATCTTCTCTGTTTGTGTCTTTGTATGTGTGTTCCCTGAGGAGGCTTCTTTCTCTCTCTAAAATATATTCATTCTCCCTACTCCTCCTCTCGGAACTTCACTCTCTCTTTCTCTCTCTACAATTTGTGTTTCTCTCTACAGCCATGGCCGCCGACAGCTTCACCGACAAAAATGCCGTTTTCCGGAAGCTCAAAGCCAAGTCCGAGAACAAGGTTTACATTGAATTTTCTATATTTTGTCTATCTTTAATTATCTGCGGATGTTTTTTTTTTGTATTTTTTGCGTTTTGTATATTTGTTTTTGATTGAAAATTGTGTTTTTCATTTGAATTTGTCTGTTTTGCTTGTATTTTTGTTTGAATTGATTTAGGAACTTGAGATCTGATTTAGATCTAGTGTTTCTGTTGAGTAGATCTTTGTTTTATGAACGATTTAGCTTGAATTTTGTTCAGATGTGCTTTGATTGCAATGCGAAGAATCCTACATGGGCGTCGGTTACGTATGGGATCTTCTTGTGCATTGATTGTTCGGCAACGCATCGTAGCCTTGGTGTTCACATCAGTTTTGTTAGGTACATTTTAATGTTTGATCTCTATCTTTATGCATTTGTTTATTGTTAAAAATCAAATTGTCTTTTTTCCTTCGATTCAGCTATGTTGTTTGTTTATACATGGTAACTTTACCAGTGAATTTCGTTTGGGAAGTTATGTAAGGTATGCAGTTTAGGTTTTCTTAGATACTGTGTAAAAACGATTAGGAATGTTGAAATTATTGGAATCAACAGGTTAGATGCCGTGATTTCTGCCGTATAAACAGTTGCTTCCTTTCATTGCACAATGTTGCAATTAAGATGAGGATGTATTATAAGATTGCATCTTTGGATGAATGTGTGCTGGACAAATTAGTATAGATCGAGTTGAGGACACCAATTTTGTGTAAGGAGCACTTAAAGAGATAATATCAGTAAGTCTACAAGTAGTGAAGTCCATTATCTTATCAATAGGTGTCAAGGGAATGGTTCTGCAAATTGGTTATGATTAAGATACATTATCATGTTGTAGGAGGAAAAAAGAACAGATTTTGCTGTAACATCTGATATTTGTAGTCAGGAGCTACTTTTTACGTGGAAGAGTGGAACTATTAAAGGGACCTGATAGTGCTAGTTTGTATCCTTATTTACGCACTAAAAACCATAGATGCACTCGCCATAGGTTTGGCTTTGGGGCTTCAAATATATGGTTGATTTAGCATTCCATCCAAATGGATTATTTTCATATGCACAAATACCTTGTTAGCTGGCTTTCATATCAAGCAAACTGATAATCCAAGCTTTGAAGGATATTAAAGTAGAGGAAGATGAATTGGATTAATCTCCCAAGATTTAGTTACATGGATTTTGCTAGGTGTGCACAAGTATTTCCACTTGTAGGTGTATATTTTAATCTGCTCGGTGCATCACCACCATATACACTTTCTTCAGTTCTTGACATGATCCGTCATGTCTAATGAAAGATCCATGTTATATTAGGCCAACATATTAGTATAGTCAACACCTAAAATTTCTTGATAGTTGGATTAAAGACAGGCCTGATTGTCGATACCTACTAAAAACCAGTATCTCCAGTGCTGGATGAGATGCAGGGAATATTTTTACCTGTGAGGATGTTAATGTTTTAGGAAGTGCTGAGAGAACATAGCTGGAAGAAAGAACAAAACAATACAATGTATCTTTAAACGGAAGTTGCAATGTATTGGAAGTAGTATTGAAGAGTTACAGTGAATGGAGTTTCTTCAATTATGACTATAGTCTATACAAGGGGTAAGTATGTGAGACTTCTAGATAGTGCTATCCAAAAGGTTGGGGATCTCAGTAGACGGGCAGCTGTGTTGCCTATCTTGTTCCAATTCTGTTGAGTCATACCAGGAAACATAAAGCAAGCTTTGTGGAGCTAGAAATTACCAGTTGTTCAGATTATCAGTAGGTCACTGTCTCTGTCTATTCCTCTTTGCATAATCCGTGGTATTTAAAAAGAGGGAAACAATAGATGGTTTGAAGATGGAAGAAAGACAGTTCAGCAACTAAGATGCTTAGTTTTCAGCTTTTGTATTACTGATGTTACATACGACATGGATGAAGTGTTAGACTATTTGGGCTTCCTGCATAGCTAAGGGATGCTGTGTTTTCTCTACATATCCTTGTATTTTTGTGCATTATCTTAGTGCTTTTAACAATAAAGTGCCTTAACTTTCTCAAAAAGAAAAATAAGTTGGTATCTCGGAAAGTTGGGTTGTCATCTTGATTCTACATTATGCTACAACAGCTCCAAAGCTAGTGCTTCTTCATTTTGCCAAACTATTGGTATGACCACCTCAAGAAACTTCCTGTATTTGCCCAGGGCTTTGGTTCAGTGGTAAGAGCACATCACAACAATGCACGATGTGTGGATTAGGCAGATGTCACGGAATTGAATCAAGTCGCAGACAAATGCTTGGAATGTACGTGGAGAAAAGCAAAGGGGACACCGACAATCCATCGAGTTCCGAACTGTGCTCCATTTGCCCTAGAGAATTTCTCGTTCCTTAGAATAGAAAGGAGTGAGTTAAGACTCTTCCTGTGTTAACTTTAGTTTCAGTTTCCTGCTTATCATGGTTAACGGAACCTCAGAAAAAGTCTGAGCAACTGTAATATGGTTATTGTTTTTCTTAACACATTTTCTTCTCCCTCATTGAAAAACCCCATTTTCTTTCTTTTGAGGAGGGTGTATAGCCTTTCTTTATCCATGGGCTAGTGGCTAGTTCTTCACATTATAATGTCACTACTATTCTTTTCAAATCACACTGCCAATGGGATGATCTAAGGCGTGGAAAAATGGAAAAGGGAAGTTCGAAATGGCCATGTTGGATTTCTTGGTTGTGACAACAGGCTAATGCGACATGCCTCCTTTTTTCTAACAACTGGCATCTGCATCACTCTTTGAGCCTCATCACTTCCATTGTTGCTCATCTCATCTCACTTTACCTCGGTAGCTGGACCTTTTCCTAGCTCTAACAACCAGCATATCAGAAGTATTAGTCAAGCAGGGACGATGATAGACAATATTATTTACCTTATTAAAAAAGTGATGACAACATCTCATGGTTAATGATGAATCTAGGTACCTTCTTAAACCTAACCGTATTTGATTGATCATGGGAACAATTGGCAATGGGAGAATATGGAAGGCCATGAAGGCTAAACTTTGAGGTGTTTTCGCTGTCTATATGGGCTTGCTTGAAAAAAAAAAAGGGAGGGGGTGGGGAGGGGGGAGATACGGGAGTGTAAGATAGAGTTTGAGTGCATGTATCTGTTAGTGACTTAGTGTGTTAGGGAGGGTTCTAATTTCTAATAGCTTTGCATTTCCTTAAACATGGTTGAGATATCTACTACGGGCCGAGGGTGATCTTCTGCCTCTGGCCCCACCTCATTTTCTTCTGTACTCTCTCCATTCAGTTTGTTTGGTATAATTTAACTAGGCATGACGTTTTAAGAGAGAAATGAAGACTTTTAAAACCCGCGATTTTAAACATGCATAAATTTGTGTGGCTATAAAAACTTCTTTTTAAGAGAAAAATAAAACTCATGGTCTTAAACATGCCATACCATTTGTGTGGCAATTAAAGCTTCTCCTTAAAGAGTAAAATCGGAAGTTTCAAATTCAATTGTTACCAAATAAAGAAATGTACTGTGCTAAGATGTGCTTTTTAGAACAGACTAATAATGAAATAATGTCGAACTTATTGGAGCAGATGGAGTATTGTTTTGAGGTGGGAGTGGGTATGGCCAGCTGCAAACAAATATATTCTGCCTTCTCTCTGTTAATTTGGCATTTATAACTCTGTCCATTTTCTAATGAATTGATTCTTGCAGGTCGACAAATTTAGATTCATGGTCTCCAGATCAGTTGAAGATGATGTACTTTGGTGGAAATAACCGTGCTCAAGTTTTTTTCAAGCAGCACGGATGGACGGATGGAGGCAAGATTGAAGCCAAGTATACCTCCAGGGCTGCCGAATTGTATAAACAATTACTCTCAAAAGAAGTTGCTAAAAGTAAAGCTGAGGAAAGTAAAGCACAGGGTGCAGGTTTGCCAGCATCACCTGTTGCCTCTCAGGCTGTGCAGACTACAAATGGATTTTCTAATATTAAGACTAGTGAAGCTCCAAAAGAAACCTCATCATTTAAGGATGAAACACCAGAGGTTTCTGCTTCACCCAAAGCTTCACAATCAGTTTATACTACAATTAAGAAACCTATAGTTGCAAAGAAATCTGGCAAGCCAGGTGGACTTGGAGCTCGTAGACTTACTAAAAAGGTACATCTTAGACTTCCAAGCTAGAGAAATGGGTGCAGGGTATAAATTGCATATTTTGAAATGAAGATTTATACATGCGCTTATAGTAAGGTATTTAACAAATTTGGAACTTAAATTAATTGATTGAGCATCTTTACAGACAAGTGAAAGTTTGTACGACCAGAAGCCTGAAGAACCGCCTGTTCAAGTTTCTTCCTCCAACCCTGCAAGTAATGCACCAACTGGTGGCTCATCATTCACATCTCGCTTCGAGTACACAGACAATGTCCAGCCCTCTGAGATGAGTTCTGGACGTGTTCTTAACCATGTATCCCCTCCAATGTCCTCCAATTTTTTTGCGGACTATGGAATGGAAAGCGGTTTCAAAAAGAAAAGCTCGAATTCTTCCAAAGTTCAAGTGAGTTCTTATTCTAGTTTTTATGTTCACTGCCATACAAGGATTCTAACAGAGCTGTTACAGTGAAATTTTAATAATGATATGAGTATCTATGAGATATAAAGAAAGTAGTGTCACACTTAGTTTAACTGCTATATTATACATAGGTGCAGCAGTTGGGTGGGTGGACTATATTTTGATCAATACCAAGTTGGGGGCAGATTTGTTGCTTTTTGATCTTATTCCAGCTTCCTGTGTTATCAATAAGTACAAGGATTGTTATTGATTTCGGAAAAGGTTGTTGCCATTTGGAACTTCAAATGTTACATTCTAAATATTTGCAATGCAAGTTTCAAGTGTTTAGTTACTAATGAAAATAAAAATAAAAACGACTTTTGGATGTTTTGTAATATAGTTTGCCTTTGAATTTTTTCTTTCTTTTTTCACCTTGGATGGATTTGTCCTTCAGTTTGTGATTTATTGTTCTCACTCGGTTCTTCTTTTGTTCGTTATTTATGAGTAGACTGCTTTGCCTAAGTTGTTTCTGTAGTCTTCAATTTATTTATTTTTTCGTCAATGGTGATCTGGGCCAGCTTTCTATGCATCTCGACTAATTCCACCAGGTACTTATTCTCTTACCAGCACAAGTAGTATGCTTGGGTAGATAGGAAAAAAATCACCTAGAGTTTTTTTGTTTCTGCTTGGGTTTGAACCTAAGAGTGATGGTTCTTCCCCACTTCATTGATGCCACATTTTTCTCACATTCTACAGATGGTGTTTGTTTTATTTAATTAACTTAATCCTATTTTAATCAGATCGAGGAAACTGATGAAGCAAGGAAGAAGTTTACTAATGCAAAAGCGATTTCATCCGCCCAATTCTTTGGTGATCAGAGCAAAGCTGAAATGGAAGCCTCAGTTTCTCTTAAGAAGTTCTCGGTATGACTGCTTGTTGTAGATAACATTCTCATATATTTATGGGTAGCTGTTTTCTTAATCAGCATGCAGACACATTGACTTGACCATCTCCCATTCCACATTCATTATCATAGTAGGGTCTTGCCCTATAAATTAATTAGAAATAGCTCTCTGCCGTCGCAACAATAATATGTCTTGCGTTTCTCCTTGTTCCTTTTCCCTTTTATCATAATACACTATACTTCTTCCCATGCTATCATTTTGCTTCGAAAAGACTGTTCAGAAACCTTGCCGGGGGGAGGAAGCCTATTATCCATTAGAATCGTCCACCAGATGGCTCTGGGAAAAAAATTCTCGGGTCCTAAAATAGAAAAAAATTGTTGCCAGAAGAATTCCACCTAAAAATGGATGAATCAGATTCATGCTCCTTAAAATGTTTTCTACTGCTATCTATTCTCAGGGTTCAAGTGCCATATCAAGTGCAGACCTTTTTGGTGACGATGATAGATCAGATCTGGACCTCACTGCTGGTGATCTCATTAACCGGATCTCGTTCCAGGTATATTATGACACAAATGTAAATGTTTTTTAGTTCCGACACGAAGACATTGAAAGGACCACACTCCATGTTTTCAGGCACAACAGGACATGTCCTCTCTGAAAAACATTGCTGGAGAAACTGGAAAGAGACTTGGCTCATTTGCGTCAACCTTAATGTCCGATTTTCAAGACCGAATCCTGTGAGGTTACAGGACCAGAATATTTCAGGCAGATGCAAACATTTTGTATGAAAAATAATAATGGAATGGAACTCTATATATAGGCTTTGAAGAAGCTGGTCTTGCCTGCATGTTAAAAATTTCTTTACGTGTTTTTTGTTATCTTCGTTTGGTTCTCGATGAGGTTTGTAGAGCTTTGTTCAACAATTTACTGTTTTCTGGTCGCGTTTGAGTTGTGAAATCATTCTACTGTAAACTATAGTGAAAAACTCTTTAGATTTTATCCTCTTTATCAGCCTGCCATAAATAACTAGAAAGATAACATTAGGTCAATCTTTTTAAGTTCATAATAACTCAATTATTAGTTCACTCGAAATAATGAAAAGAACTCATATCTAAAATTTGGAACTGTTCATACATGGTTATATATTATTTATACAATATCGATACATTAAATATACATTTAACTATTATTGTTGTTGAAAATAATATTCATCCTCTATACAGTTAGGTAAAAGGTTCTAGAAACTAAATTTAAAAAACAGTTAAAGACTAGAAACATAATAAGGTTTCTTAGCTAATGTTTCTCTTACTACGAACGGTAACTATAGCTTGATGTGCTACGAAATTAACAGTATATTTCACGTTTTTGGTTTGTTACTTGTACAAATATGTGTGGGACACTATTAATATGAGCTATATTAATTAAACATTAGGTGCGAATTGTTATTAAATTAAACTATAAATGTATTTAATAATTCATAGTAGATGTTTGCCATACTACATTTTTTGTTTAATAATTAATTCTTTCATAATATTATTTTTTAATTGTTGATCATTTTGAGTTATAGATAGCTATATAAAGAATTTTTCTTTCCATAAAAGTAATATTATTTTGATGTATCATACATGTTTCTCATATGTCACACACAAAACTTAATCTACACACAATAAATCAATTAATTTTGTCTTCTTTTGTTAATTAATATGTTTTTTGTGAGTATTTGTTTGTCCTATAATTGCTCCTCTTCTATGTATTTTCGAAGTTATATTCTTGAAACTATATATATTTTCTACGCGAATAATTTTCTAGAGAATAATTATTATTATCATGTAGCTTATATATGGTGTTTCGATGGGTGCTATGTTTAATTTCAGAACTGTATGAGTTCAACAAATAGAGAATTTTTTTGTTTGTTTTTCACAAAAGCTTAATCAAATGCTTAAATGAGAAAAAAAAGAAAGAGAGGAAGAATAAGAACACCTTTGAGAAATGGAGTGAGTGTTAAATTCATATCGGGTTGGTTGTTCTATATTAGTTACGGGTTAGTCGAATATAAAAATTAATGTGAAATTGATATGATGTGATTATAAATTGATCGAAGGAAGTCATGCAGACTATTTGAGGTGACAAGTCTAGTGACTTGACACAAGTACAATAAGTAGTAATCTATTACAATTTATGTTTTATAACTTTCATGATTTATACATGATTCATAAAGTGAATGTATTATGAAATGTTTGGGCTAGAAAGTTTGACGTATAATAGATATAGTGAGTGTGCGTGCGTGCGGGGTGTAGGTATGCCACTTATGAGAAAGAACTTCAAGTCAGTAAAGTAGTTAACCAAAACAAGTAACAAGTTCGTCAATCCTTCCTCCGATGCGTTCCGTTCATTTCATCATTTTGTTGTGTTGTTCTGTTCATAGGTCTGTGGGACAAGTTTTTTTACTTAGTATGATATTGAAACGGTTATGTGAGATGTTCTCACTTTTATAAGACATGTTTATTGTTGATTGAGATATGATGATCATTATTGAAAAGACTTGTTAATTATAAGTATCTCGACATATGTTTTTGGTTAAAATTTTATATAATATGATAGAACTTAAATGTCTTGACTATTTGGGAAATGCTTCTACTATTTATGAAGAAAATTATAAATGAGAGTAGACCTTGATGGATTCCGTGTAGCTAACAACATATTCGTTACACTTGGCATCTTGTATTTATCGATTACTAATACAACCCTCGCTAGTGGAAAGGTAGAACTGACATATTGTTATTGATTTTCCTAAAGCAGGGACATATTGATATGAATATTTGAATCATTTATGAGGGATTCATTGTTATTGATCATATTTTTAAGTAGAAGGGGACACTTACTACATGATTCATTCTTTGAAAACCCTCAAATATGAGATTTAAAATGAAAGTCTTTTACTGAAATTTACTATTAAATGGTTAAGTTGATTTTGCTTACATGTTACAACAAGATTGATTATTGTTATCATTTTCCCGAAAAGAACATTTATTGTATGATTTTACTTATCATACTAGTATGTTTTCTGTTTTTTTTTTTCTCATTAAAAAGGTTGTGGTAAAGTGTTATTACTCACTGAGCTAACTTTCACTCCTCACTAATTTTTTTTTACAGAGGACACAAGTGACATTGACGAGGATTTCATTAACTAGAGCTAGCAAGTTGACATTCCATGGTGATCCTCGCACTTGTTCACGCAGGCAACAAGCTTATCTATTTGTTATGGACATTCCTTTGATATATCTCTTAGATTCGCTCCATAGTCACTTCTTTTACTAAAGTTATGAGTTTTCTTTCGTTTTTATAGACGTGTGACTAGTATTAAACTTCTTTCCATATTTTGAGATGAATTAGTATTATTGTGTGACGAATAGATTGTTAATGGATATTGCGTCTTAATTTGGAGATGTTCTTAGTTGTGTTGCTGATTTCTGAAATAGAGAAAATTTAGATAGGCCCAAAAATAAGGAAAACTATGTCCGATTTTCTTTAAAATTCTGTTGACACTTGCTTTAAGATTCTCCCCTTAGCACCGTTCGCGGTCTTAAATTGGAGACTGACATGTTTTGAGTAGGAAATAGTGCTCGCTTTGTTACTTAATTTGGTCTATTAGTATAGTCATAAATTTTAGTTTGTGTTAAAATCAGAAATCATTCGTTATTCGTTTGTCGAGAGTCAATTGAGAACACTCTATACCTTCTCAAAATTAAGTTATTATTCATTTTGAATTTACTATTTTATTTTTAATTATTTCTTCAATTAAGAAAACAAGAGAATAAGAAAAATTCTAGCTCATTCTAAAGGATTGCATATTTTAATTATCCATGATTATTAATGTCTAATATGATCATTTGATGAAGATCGACGGAAAGTGACATAAATAACTGATACTATTGGAGGGATTTCTTTTTGCATAATTGGTATTGTAACTGATACTTTTGTAATGGATTTAACAGATACTTACTTTTATGATCCATATAATCATATTTCGGATTGAGTTCATCCTTATAGTAATCAAATGAATTGAGTTATCAATATTTAGGCGTAAAAACTAAGAACTCAACGAGATTTTATTTTTAATTTGATTTGAAGGGGAAGTGCCCATTAAGTTCTCAAGAACCATAAAGTAACAATAACGTCTCAACATCATAAAAGGAGAAAAATAAATCAAAATTTCTATTAAGAGTTTGACCATTTATTTAATTTGTGATCAGTAGTCTATCATACCTTAAATAAATTATGCATGTATAAAATAAAAGTTAATGTTTTTCCTTTAATTACATATAGGTTGGTTAGAACAAAAATGCATTATGAGAAATATAAACCTAGTAGATAGTATTTTCCCCCCAATAAATAAGTATATAATCATTCAGTTATAGAAAGATTACGAAATCTTTCGAAATTTTAGCTAAACCTAATCTCTGCCGCCGGTCAGCCACCACCATCGGAAGCCAGGCCAACTTTGCATATTCTATCCAACACTGGACAACCCTCATCAACAACCTTTGCCAATACAGTCAAACAAACCAATCCCGATGAAGCAAGTTGCATACCTACATGGAGAACCAAGAATAATTTGGGAGAAGGAGGAAGTCCGAGTAAATGACATAAATAGTCCCTCAACTATAGGAGTAGGTCTAAAATGGTCCCTGAACTATACACTTAACGGATTTAGTTCAACTTTGGTCCCTTAACTATACACTTACCGATTTTAGTCCCTTAACTATAAATTTACCGATTTTAGTCCTTTAAGTATTCACAAACTTATCAAGTTTGGTCTTTGTCCATCCTAAACTTTGATAGTTTTGTTCGAGAAACTTATCATGCATCATGCTAATCAATGCGAATTTTATTTAATTTACTCAAATTTCTTTATGTAAAATAAAATGAATAGAATAATAAAATTGATATATGTAATAAAAAGTTTAAAAAATTGCAAACCTACCATTTTATAAATTACCATTTCTGAAAAATTAAACAAATTCCGTTCAATGAAATCGTTGGAGTACAAACTTTGGATTTAACGGATAATAATTTTTTTCTTTTTATAATAAAGTTTAACATATTCAAGTCATTAGTAACAATAATATTCTTCATTTTATCCGCTATTGAATAAATTATGACTTATATTTTCTTTCCTCGTGAATTTTATTTTAAATCGTTAAGGTTAAGGTTCTTCGCGTAAGGTTAATTTGAAGAAAAAGTAACGGAGAGAGAACCAACAGAAAAAAGTTGACTAAAGGATTTAATTTCTCGAGGCATAGATTTTGTTAATATAAACCTAAGCTATTTGTATTTAAAAAAAAAGGACAAAGACCAAACTTGATAAGTTTTTGAATACTTAAAGGACTAAAATCGGTAAGTTTATAGTTAAGGGACTAAAATTGATAAGTGTATAGTTAAGGGACCAAAACTGACAAGTTTTTGAATAATTGAAGGACTAAATCCATTAAGTGTATAGTTCAGGGACCATTTTAGACCTACTCCTATAGTTGGGGGACTATTTATGTCATTTTCTCGAGGAAGTCCATCAGATGATTTTAAATAAAGAATTACAATATGCAGTAATAGGAAAAATTTCCTACTGATGGCCTGAGATACAAGCCCTAAGGAAATTAATACCAAAGCAATGTGAACTAAAGGGAGAAGTAAATATTGGATTGCTGACTAACATAATATGTTCTCATACGGGCTACAGAGATGGAGGATTATGTCATCTTACTATCAAAACCACAGTTTTACATAATGCACCACCACTAGACCTACCTCATGCGAACTCTTAAATGGGACCCTTTATTTGATATGGAGGAAGAAACTTTAATAGCCATCGCATGGATCTCATTCCCATCACTGCCACCAAACTTTTTTGGTAAGGACGCAATTTTTTCGATGGCAGCTGCAGTAAGGAAACCTCTACAAGTGGATTTGGCCACAAAGAATAAGACTCGACCAATTTGTGCTAGGGTC